ATGGCTGGTGGGATCCACTTTAATGAGACAGTTTTTCTCTTAAAGGCCTATTCTTAACGCAACGGCCCTCTTTAGGGCTACAATGAGGCTGAAGTCTGTTCCTCCAAGTGGTGGCAGTAACTACAAATATATGGTGACTGAGTACAGACAAACAAGGGAGGAGGTGGGAAGAATTGTAAAAACTTTTCATCAAGTTTTAATGTAAAAACTGACGTCGAATTCAGAATTAGCATGTCAAAATACCATAAAATGGGCTATTTGAACGAAGATGTTGTTACTATTATTTGAAATTCGTATGGAATTATTGTAATAAAGATATTATAATAGCAGTGTGTGCATTATCAGATTAACTTATTTCCCCTTCTCTCCACATTTGAAGGCCCTTCATGAGAAAACTGAAATAAATATTTGATGCAGTCTAGTGCTTTCAATCTTGAATTAAGTCTTGGTGGTTCACAGCCACAAAAGGTATTTAAAGGGGGCCTGTGGTGAAGGAAAGGTTGAGAACCACTGCTCTAGTTAATTGTAAGTCCATGTTACGTATCATGAGTCTTCATCATTCTTTAAAGAATTTTCCTGTCCACTCTATAACGAGGGTCATAAAAGCATCCTTTGCTTTTGTAATAAATATCACAGCCAAGATTCATACAAGCTGCATCTCAAACACTAGGAAATGGGCAAGTGTACAAGCAAAAACACGTTTCTAATAATGCAGTCAGAGCAAACATAAAAAGTTATAGGAAAGTATTCTGCATTGTCACAGCACTAGTGATAATGGTTTTGCAAAAGTCAATGCAGCCCAGGGTCATTAGTGCTTGGTAGGCAACAATAAAAGGCATGGATTTGCCACAGAATTTCAGCAACATCATTTGCAACCAATTTCCAGTAGCAAACTACTTTTTTTGCCTTTGCTTAGCAAGTGCTAATGGTCACTCCGATAGCATAGGGTATTGCCCACTGTCAAGCTGGGTATGAATTACATTTTATTAATTTTCAGATTTAAGGAAACTCCTTCACAGTGTCATGAACTTTTATTGTTTTCCGGTATTAGTCCAATGGCTGGAATACTGGAAAAATATCCACAGCTGCATATCATATAGGTAGTGATGGATTGCAGTTAAGTGAGAATCCTTCTTGATGACTGATTAACCACAGAAGCATCAATATAAAAAGTTAAAAATCCTTTTCCAATACTATATTTCCCAGAATATTTGAAATCTCTACCATTCAGAAATGTGCTGCCTTTAAATTTACATTATTCATTTGAACAGAGACAGATTAGTTCTTGTATAATGCTATCAAACACATTTTCCAAGCAAGAGACTTGACAGCCTTTCCATAAAGTCAGAAGTTTGCTGCAGTGATTCATATATAGTATATTCCCAAGACAGTGGGCAGGTTTGTTTCAATGGGGAAGGAAAATAATATTCAGCAGTTGCATACTGCATTGTCATAATCAGGGTCACCAGGCATGGCTTGTCATGGTGTCCAAACCCTGTACGGTAGGGGGCAGAGGTGGTTCCAAGGTTGCTTGTGGTTATATTCCCCACCTCCACCCTCACCAGGTTCAGATCACATGATTCAGCAGTGTACTCCTGGCATGTGCAAAGCAAGAAAATAAGCTACAATGGCTTATTGTCTTTTCCCAATAATCACTCTGGTCTGTGATTCCCATGCCAAATTTTCAGTATTCACTGAGCTCTACATCTGAGCTCTACTTCTACTTGCATATTCTTCTCTTCTGGGCCAATAATGGGTAGAACATTAGACCAGGAAGTTGGGACACCCGGGTTCTAGTCCCCACTTGGCCACGGAGTTCACTGGCTAACTTTGAGCCAGTCACTTACTCTCAGCCTAACCTACCTCATAGGGTTGTTGTTGTTAGGATAAAATGGAGCTATGTAAGTTTTCTTAGGTTCCTCATAATAGGAAACATGAGATATAAATGCAATATAATAATGCTAAGCCAAAGAAGTCTCTTTGCAAGTTAACATGAAATGTATAAAAAGGCAGCCCCTCTGTTCACTGGCCTCCGACTGTACAAAGAAATTCACAGAACTTTGGATGAAGCCCAAGTGTTTTTTAGGGTCTAATCCTGAAATCCACTTTGCTACCCCATGCATTTTTGGAATGGGATAAACCAAGAGCTCTGCTAATACAGTATCACAATACAGAATTGTGCCAGACTTTTTAAAAATTGCAACATTGCTGTGAATAGTTAATTTGCACAAATGTTTAATACATGGATATAAACATATGCATTAAGAAAGTGTTTGATCAGATTTATCAGATCCCTTAGGAAAAATATTCCTACCTAGCCTCTTTCACCCATGTACTCTCACTAAGGGCCAGGGGAGGAAGGGGGAGTGGTTGAAGCTGGCTCATAAAGTATTCTATATAATGCACATTGCATGTTGTGTCTAATATTTGCTGAAACTGTGGAGCTCAGCCATTTCGAAGACTCTGGATTTGCATGTTTCACTCTTATAAAAATGCAAAAGGACACATAATTCAAACCACTGCTTTTCATAGATTTGGAAGAGAATGGGTTGTACCCAAAGTGTACTGGCAGGCACTGGAATATCTGTCAATGGAACTGATGTGCTGACAGATATAATTCCTCTACCCAGTGGAGTCCCCACAGGAACCCTGCCCAGCCCCCAGTAAATCTATTCCAGAGTGTTTGGAGACCTTCCAGAGTAAATTTGGGAGAGCTGGATGGGAACTATAGAGTAACAGGAGAAAGGAAACTTTGGTTGAATGGTCATAACATTTGATTCAGGCCTTTTTGTTCATCTATTACAATTTCTGTTACAAAGTTTGATGGGTTGGATCAAGCCTTAGTCATACTCAGAGTAGACTTAAGCCCAGTGTAAACAATGCTGCAAGAAAATTAATAAATTTACAGGAGGACAGGGCAGCAAATACTAATTTATCCATGCCTAGGTGCGCGCTTCAAGCTAAGACAGAGAAGACTGGAATATTCACAATTTTCACAATTGTGAATTCACAATATTCACAAACAGAGAAGATTGGAATATTCACTCCAGGAAGCAACAGCCAAGATGCAGCTTTTAATAACTCTGTCTATAGTGCTGGCTACTATGGAATTATTGTAATACAATAAATTATAATACTAGGACTACAGTTTTATCAAGGCAGACTGTTTTGCTCCACTTTATTTGTATTGATCCTAGTTCTCTTCTAAGCAGAAGTACAAGCCTGGGTCTACACATGAAGCAAAACAGAATGGCAGAGGGATAGTGCCAGTTTTGACTGCTGGCAGAGACTTACTCTTTAAGTTTCCTTTTTTAAAAAACGCTCCCTGCAAGGAGAAAACCTGCATAGCAGGGAACAGCCTATAGAGAAGCTTTGTTCCCAAATGTTAATTTATTGCTATGTGCAGCAAAGCTTTTTTTAAACTGCAGACTATTCCAAAATGGCAGCCCCTAGCTGCATCCTAAGTAATGCAGTCCATTTTTCCATGTGTATCTGCCTAACAAATGATCTAAAACTAGTCTTTAAAAGTTTGCTCAATTTGAAACCCTCCCCACCCCTTCTTTTACAAGAAAGCATGAATCCTACATGTTTCAAAAGGGACCTTCAGTAGGGGTAGCAGCTCATAGACTTTCGGCAGAGTCATCAAACAGCACACTGCATGTGTGCCAGCATTTTATTTAACTTGACAATAATGATGGGCCACATACACTAGCATCTTCTCTCCTTACAACCGTAGTAACATCATTTGCGAAGAAAAATACAACAGGAACTTCATGCAAACACACCAACATGCAGCTTGCTGTTAACCAGACTGAAGCTTTCCCCAGAAACATTTACATTGAACTACTTTAGGTATACCCAAGGGTTTAAATGTATGGCTCTCCAGCAGTTGTTGAACCGCACGTTTTATCATCCTTCACCACTGACTATGCTAGTGAGGGCCAATGGGAACTGCAGTCCAACATCTGCTGGCTATCCACAAGTTTCCAACCCCTGCTTTAAGCAATCTAAAGTTTCAATAGTATATATCTCTTATGCAGAAGCAAGCAAGCTTCATTCAGTTCAATGGGACTTCATTCCCAAGCAGCACTGTATAGCAGCAACACCAAACCCCAAGTCCACAGGCCATTCCCATCCAGAATTCCAATCTGACCCTATGGGATTCCTCCTGTTTCCTCTAGCTTTACCAGCTTTCCTCTGAGCACTGACCATTTGGTGGTTTTCCAGCTTTTGCACAGTATTCCCCCATTCTAAAAGCTTGAAATGCCCCTCATAGAGCTTAGCTACTGTTGAGAAAAACTCTAATTGGGTATTTTTAATATTTTATCCCCTTCTTCTTTTCCCTTCAGTCTCACCCACCTCTGAAATACAGTGCTCAAGGCCTTGGTTCAACACCGCTGGTGTATAGGATGGCTGCCAAAAAGCAACTGGCAACTCATTCTGATCCCACAGAAGTCATACTTGTCTGTACTGCTACTGCATGCTTCATCAAATGTCCATGTCCATGTCACTTAGCCTTACTCCAGTTTTAGCCAGACAAGCAGAGTTACAAGGGCAAAAGAGCAACTTTTATCAAAGTTATTTCATTGTAAAAATGAATATATAGGGAAGCTGTAGAACTGTACAATTGAGTTACTCCCAAAACTGTGACCTATTCACAGAATACAGAGTTATTTACCAGGCTCACAGCCCAGCTAAGCATATTTCCAGGGAATTAATTCCCACTGAGCTCAATGAGACTTACTTCTTCATACGTCTGTTTAGAATTACAGCCTTTGGCTGTGGTCCTAGATTTAAACAGTTGACTTTATTTTCCACTGACCTCTACAGGGCTTTCTTTGAAACTGATATATTTACAGTTGTTATTACATTCAAATACAGCAGCAAACCATGCTGTCCCAAAGGATTATTTTGTACTGGAGGCAAGGAAAACAAGTTTCATCATGCACATATATGTTAACTTATACTATATACAGGTAAAAACAGAAAGGCAACCTCACCTCGTACATCTGGAGAAAATCGGGCTGAATGGCGAGACACAAAAAGTTTCAGTTCTTGATCCAAATTGCATTCAATTAGGTTGGTGTCCCATGATCGGATACCTGAAAATCAAAATGAAATACATTAACATGTAATTCCTGGATAGGAGCAGAATGCAAGTTTCTAGATTGTCTTTACCATGTATCTATGTTTATACCCTTATCTATAGACCTTCTGTTCTTAAAGGCCACTTAGTTTCTTAAAATATATATATTACCTATTCTCATTTTCTAAGTCATGGTCCTTCAAAATGCTGGGCCTTCTCTAATACTTTGCCCTGCAGTATTAGCAGAATTTCAGCTCCAAAACTTGTAAGTGCATAGCTTTTATTAGTTTTATGATTATGTAGCAGGACTATGTACCACAAGCTAATATGTATGAAGATACTAATTTGTAACAGTTTTAAAAAATCTAATTGTTTGATGTTACATAGTAATACAGTCTGCCCAGGAACTTAGACAAATTTTATTTTTAGAAAATAAAATAAAGGATGTTAGTATGCATCTGAATAGTACCATGTTAAAGAAACACTGCACTACTACAGATACAACACAACAGACAAAGTGGTTGTTGATTCACTCTGAAAGCCTGTGTTGTACTTGGGTGATGCTGTTTCAAGCAAGGCCAACACCACATTTCTCTACTCACAATCACTAACTTGAATTAAGATCTTCATTTCTCTGTGTACAAATATGTTGGAGTGGTGAAGCCTCAGACACGGATCCTAGCTATTCTCATTTATATTCTCGTTTATAACCTCCATGGCTCAAGAGTCTAATTTTATTAACTTTTCCCACAAAGGCACCACAGTACAACATGGACTGATCTATTAGTGGTCATGCAGAAAGGTGTGCACCATAATGATATAAATATTATCTTCATTTAGATATCTTTCCCGCTCTCCCTACAGAGACAATCAAAGCCATTTGCAAAATTCCATAGTCAGAATTAAAGCAATGATAATCCATATCATCATTAAAAATAGAAGTACCACTGTGATAACTATAAGCAGTGTAAAAGAAGAAACAAAATGTGGAAATCCAGTAGACATTAAGAAACAGCCTAAAGGAGAAATTAGTTAAAAGCTTGCTGAAAAGGAGTCTCCAAGCTCTGTTGGAACACTAGTAAGGACCAGGATCATGCATGTTCTTAGTGCAGGGAGCTCCACAAATGATGCACTGCCACCAACATGTTGCCAGCTGAATCTCTGAAAAGGCCTCGGTGTGTGCAAGAGAGCTCTATTAACTGCCTTTAGGAAAGGACAACCTGACATAAATAGCAGTGCTACAGCTAGTACACTAAATCAGCCTTTTAGTCTGGGATTTCATTTAATCTGAACTATTTCAATATAAGGGGCTTTCTGTTCACACAGCTCTTGTCTGATGGAGCTGACTTGCCCTAAACGGATGTAAAGGTCCCAAGGAGGCATCTCAAACCTTTGTCTCCAGCAGACAGCCTTCGGTGATAAAGTCAGTAAAACTAGATCCCATAGAATAGCCTCTACCAATCTAATGTCCTCCAAATATTTCGGACTAACTGAGCTGATGGGAGTGAAAGTCCATGACATCTGGAGGGCTTTAGGCTGGGGAAAGATGCCACAGGACAAGGATGCATGGTGGGTACATGAATGGCCATGAATACTGTCAGTGGACTTCACAGACTGACTGTGGAGCTGACTTTGCAGCTTGATGGAGAGGCACCTTTAAAATAGTTTCTTATAGGCTGAATAATCATCCCATTGGGTAGCAGAGATTCTCTCTTACCTACTTCACTTCATCAGTCCAATCTAGTATTTGATCATCTATCAAATACAGTCTATATCTGTATTGCCTGTTTTGACTCTTGGCTCCTATTTGCTTAATCCAATACAAGACCCCCTAACCCTCCAGCTGATCCTTCTACCTATCATCTTCTTCTATAGTAGCATGTATAACTTTTAATGAAGCAATCCATCAATGGATACTAGTCTTTGGAAAAGGGACCCATATGTTAACTCTTCTTCTGCTGAAAGAACTTTCCCCCTTTGCCCTTTGTTGCCCTTTATGATGTCCAGCAAATACCACTACTGGGCAGATTTCCTGTCTACTAAGGTACCTGAAACAACTGTGGAATTCAAGCCTACAATCAGTAGCTCCTGCCATGGGCAGAGAAAATGCAGGCAAATTATTATATTAAATAAATATACTGACACTGCTGTTTAAAAAATCATAGATATGAATAGCTTAAATTTCAAGGTTTTTAAATCCAGATTAATGTGTTACATTGGAACCTTTTAAACCAACCTATTCTATTTTAAAATGAAGTTTATTGTTTATTTAGGAAAGTCTTTTCTATGATACAGAACTCAATAAGGCATGCATACTAAATGTTAAATGCACATAATCATAATGGACAGTTTAGGGGTGATATTTTTAAACAAAAAGCCTGCAAGCTACTGTCAGGTATGGCAGAATAACTGCAGATGTTTTGAAAACAAGTCCAAATTAGTCGCCATGTCATATTTTAAAAGGTCACCAACCTATTGTCAAATGATAGAAGTTTAAACAAAATCAAAGACGTATATTAAAAACATTAAATTCTAACAATGCAATTCTATAGATATCCTCAGAAGCAAGTCCCCTAGAGTTAAATGGAACTTAGGTCAAGGTAAGTGTCTATAGGATTGTAGCATAAATTGACAAACTGTTTGCCTAATTTAAAAGAGAAAACAGGTCTAGGAAACTAGACTGATACTATTTGTATCTATATTCAGACTCTACAGTTTGAAAGCATGAATTTGCCAACTAAAGGGGAAGCTCCTGCATAGCTGGAACATCACTTCCTTCCCACTATCCTTACCAAAATATACTCCACACTTTACTCTTTAAAAAAACCACATTCTGTCTATCTCGAAGAGCTGAGGAAATAATATGGAACTATTAAAAGTTTTGTACAAAGTTCTGTACAAACAAGTTTAAATGCAAGCATTTATTGATTCTGAACAGTCTCCTCGCAACACCAACTAAATAACCTTAGATTAAAAACAAGTTGTTTCTTTCTTAACCATTTGATTCTTGGTATAACATGCAGTAAAAGTCTTTGTCTCTAATGATGCTTCTGCATTGCCATGTTATTCTCATTAAGTGGCTTTTTCTCTAACCCATGACCTTGGGTCTGCTTGTCTAAAACCGTTTTTCCTATGGTTTGGGCCAATCAAGTTTGTCAGGCAAATGAAATATGCCAGATATAAAATGCTTGTATTTTATCAATTATGTTCCAGAATTTTTCACCCAAGTTAAATATCATGGTTAAGCAAAGTTCGGAACCTTCTGATTATAGAGAAATGAGTAACTTGTACATGTTTTTCAGTGGAAAGAAAATTAAAATAATTTTCTGACATGCAGATGTTGGTGATTTCTTATAGGAGAAACAATAATGTGTACATCAGCAATTTCCAATTTATTTTGGCATTATTTGCAAATGAAGGGGAGGGAGTTAACCTGTTTTAGAAAAAATATAAGTATGCAGCTATGTATTAATCAGTAATGTTGAATGAAAGTTTTTCCATTGTAAAATGGTTCAATTTTGCCAAAAAATACACTTCTAAAATTCATTGTTTCATTAAATTAACAATACAATGAATTCGTGCAATATCGAAAGGAAACTGCCCAAAGATGTAAGTAACTTTTTGAAGTTCTAGTAAGAACCAGATGCACATGACAAATGGTTCCTCAAAGCAGCACAAAAATTTGGGCATGCTAAATTTAGCATGTTAAATCTTTTGTTCCTTAATTTCTTTCATGTCTATATACTATTGCTTAGGTTTCTTATAATAATTATATATATTCCAATAAGGATTAAAAGCATTCCCCAAGTAAAGGTTTAATTTTATTACAATATAAGTGTGCTTGAAGTTTTTCCCTAATTCTATATTTCATTCAAATACTTTTGGCAATTGAAAACATGAAGTTATAAACAGGAGAGAAAATTGGCATGGCATGATTTGTTTTTTAGTTTTGTTTTGTTCACCAAAAATAAACCTGTCAAATATAAACATGCTGAATCATATCCTAATCTATTTTAAGGCTCAGGAGGAGGGGATTTTACAGATTTTCACATTCTGAATTTTCCAGAACACAAACATCATTGTACTAAATGAATTTCACCCGTTCTTCATAGTGATTCAATAATGGCCAATTGTGCCAGCATCCAGCAAAAAGGCTGATTCACCCTTCTTTTTTATCACTTGACTTGTGACATGATTATTGATACTCAGCCAAATGCATAAACTGTTTCCATTGAAAAGTATTGTGCCTGAGTTGACAGAAGGCATTTTTCTGCCTGTGTCTAGTCTAGCATGCCTTATACCAGGTTAATCTCTTGCTGTTTATTCAGGCTTGCTACACATTAAGGACCTTCTGATCACCTGGTCCCTGAACCTTTTTTGACTGGAGAAGCCAGGGACTGAACCTGACACCTTCTGCATACAAAGCTTGCCCTCCTAAAAGATATTGCCCCAAGTCTTCTATCCGGATGGGCTTGGTTGGGAATTGGATCAGGACTTTCTACATGAAATAATGATTATACCCCTAGGCCAGGCACAGGCGACCTGGCACGCTCCACGTGTTTTAGAATACAGCTCCCAAAATCCCTGACAATTTACTGGCTAGGGCTTATAGGCTTCCAGTCTGAATTATCTGGAGGACACCAGGGTTCCTTGCCCTAAATAGGCAAGCTGTGGCCCTCCAGGTGTTGTGGCCTGCAATACCCATTAAGACTGATGTAGCTATCTAAAATTATTTCCAGGCTACTTTTAAGGATGAAGTTATAAGGAGACCGAAATTTCCGGAGGACCACAAGTTACCTGCCCCAGCCCTAACTCAGACCAGTATATCTGAGCTTGGGAATTGCTCTGTGGTGACTAATTTCACCCCTCGAAGACATCACTTAGTGCTACAGTGCCTGGATGATGCACATGTGGATCCTCCATTATACGAAGGACCATCATGGCCAATGTTCAGGAACAATATGACTTGAATCCTACAATATTGGGGGCACCAGTTTCCTACCCTTGCTTTATACGAATTCTTGCAAGTTAGAATAAGGTTTCAATCCTACATAATTATGTCTATAAAAATCAACAGAAGTACAAATGAAATCCTTCTCATGGTTCCTCACAAGGATATATGCAATAGTCTTCTCCAACCTGTTCCCTCCAGTTATGCCGAACAACACTATATGCCCAATCAACCAGTTGGGGTGTCTGGAAGTTGTAGCCCAACACATTTGGAGGGAAAAGGTTGGGGAAGTCTATTGTATGCAGGCAATCAAAATGGAACAAGGAGAACTGCTTGCTTCTTCAGTGTACGATTCCATGCATGTTTAAATGTTTGGATGGGTATGCTGAGAGTTGTAGGAATTTTTCCTGCCTAAACATGCATAGGATTGCACCTTAACAGTTCTTTCTTTTTTTCAAAAAGACCCTGTTTATGTTAATATGCTGCTTATGTTAATAAGCTGGTTCGGTGTCTGCTCTGAATCTTAATTTTCTAGGATCTCTTTATTATCTTTCTTAGGATATATTAATAGACTGCTCAATGTAACACAGTCATAACAATGTTCTGTTTGTATTGCAACTTGGCGGAATGGAGATGTGTGACGCACCTATACAAGTGCTCTGGCAAGGTCACATTTGCACTGAACATGAAAGATGAAACAAGCCACTTGGACAAGAACTGCCAGATTTAAAAAGTTTTGGTAGCAGAATTCAGAATTTTGCTGAATTTCTTGTTCTACAAGAAGGGTCATCTTTTAATCCAATCACGTATCATTGTTGCATAGGATATGAGGCACATGGGGTTATTAAGTGTGAATGCACACCAGAATCACAACTTTCAAATAATACGCCGTAACATATCAACCACTGAATGTCAGTTCCCCATTTACAGTTCTATAATTCTGCAATTCTGAAAGAAACAGAACATAGAATGTAATAACGATAGGGAGAAACCATTTAAATTTGCTATTACTATGCATAACCAGTGGAATTCCAGTCAAGATAGGACTGTTTGTTTTCTTCTGTAAGAAAAGCAGAAGCACTGACAATAGGCCTGCCTCAGCAGTCTGGGCACTCCCACAAATCCTGAGTTTTATACAAAAGTCTTAAGTACTGGAAAAGGATGACTGGAGCATTAAAATAAACAGCTGAGTCAGAATTCTTAAATCACGTTGGATAAGGCTGCGCACTTTAAGCCTCTCTTGACAACATGTAAAATAAAACAAAAATCTTCGTCCTCCATCTTATCCAGGATTACCCTTTAGTAAGTTATCAGTGCATGATGTCTTCTTAAATGTCTCTGCAGTAATTCATATTAATCCAGCATCTTCAAAGGTGGGGCCCAAGTAAGAAACCTGAAATCTTGAAGGCCTTGTTGTAAATGCACAATGTGTCAAGTTACTGGCGCCTGCTCATCCAGATTTTCCAAAGAAAATGGTTTTAATCAAGCCGTGGATGCTCCATGGAAACAATGTACAGTCTTTCCCCCAATGAGATATGCAGTCCTGAAGGTTTAAATGGATTATCTATCACTCCTAGTTTATAACCCAAAATTTCAGACGGATGATACAAATATACCAGCATTGGAACTTCAGGCTTGAACACTATTCCTTCTTGGTGGGGAAACTGGGATCAGATGCCTTTAGGGTATAACATGTAACCATCTGCCATATTAAATTGACAACTTTAAGCAAATGCAGATAGTGGCTTGATTTAAAACTTCAGATAAAACTAGAAACTAGAGGAGTATAAAACAAAAATCATCCCCAGCAGATTCTGCCACTCTCCAGTGGGAAGATAAAAGGTCACTTACAAAAATAGCTACCAAAAGAGGTAGCCCTGTCGCCTTGAAAATATAGATTCAAGAAGAAATGTCCAAAGTAGTTTTGAATTGGAACCACTTGTAGGGAGTGAAGCAACAATACAAAGCACCAAATGAAGTCCTCCATCTGCTGAACCACACCTATGTGGCAAGAATGTATTCAAGGCACTGCCTGAGGGTTGCATGACAATGGCAGATGCTTTTAATCCTTTCTCCTCTCCCAAACAAAGCCACAATCCCATAATTTGCTCCAGAACTTAATTTTAACAAGAAATGGTATACAACCTATGAATATTTAAAGTCTTAATTCTCAAAATATCTAGCACATCTAGGTACTTGAACTGCACAACTGCATTCTTCAGATTCATACAATGGACAAAGCATTATATTTAAACATCACTACAAGAAATACACTTGTTTCCACCAATATTCTAATTTATTTTGACTTTTATAAAATAAAGGCCGGCTAAAAGTTCACAGCAGTAATTGTCTGTAGCTGGACAATGGCAAAATTTTGTTCCATATTATACAACAACATTTCTGTTCTTTATTGTTACTGTTATTCTCTTGAAAATCTGTCCAAAGCCTCTTTTTCTTCAAATCTACCTGAAAACAAACCCAGAAGACTTATGGCTGAAAGTTAGAAACAAAGGAGGCTGCCGCATCTTTTTCAGGAGCTGTCTATTCTGCAGCGCAAAGCTCTCCAGATTTTTTAACTCAAGTCTCGCAGGGGCAGAAGCAGCCTGCTCACAAGCAGACCCATAATGTAATTTTCTTTTTTTCTCCTTGACTGTGTGAACGCCCTTTGTCCGCTATGGGCTGCCATAGGGACCGCACTGCGGACTGCACCACGCCCACAAGCCGGTGTCTCTGGGCAGACTCCCCAGCAGCAGCACCAAGAGGTGAAGAAGAGAAAGCGAAGGAGGCACTGTTGCAGGCACTGCAAAAGACCGGAACGACCTCTGCTCGGAGCCAGCTGGGGGGTCCGCGTTGTGTGTGTACAGTGACAATAGGGAGGGAACGGAGGAATGACTCACAAAAGGGAAAAGTGGAGCAAACTCAAGATCAACTGCAGGAGAGGATGGTGCGTTATGTCCCCACCTTCCTTGTGCAGCAAAATGCCCAAGCCAACTGCAGATCTTTGTGTGAGCGAGCCTGTCTCCTCCCTTCTCTACTGCTGCAGGGACTCCAAAGCCATGTACGTCTCCAAACACTTCATCTAAGGTGATAAGATCCACACTGCTTTGGAAGAACCCCTCCCCCGGTTCATAAAAAGAAATCCCACTTGGGTCCTGCAGTCCCCCCCCCCTCCTGGTAATGCAGGAGCTTCATCTGGGATGGAATTACGAGTGCGCCATTTAGCATGCTTCTTCCAGCAAAGTGGGAGGTGGGGATGGGAAGGTCAGCCCTGCTCTCTATCTTGGTGTTGTTGTTTTTGCTGCTTGTAACCCAGCTAGGATCGAAAACCAAACCATTCATTAGCAGGGTGCTGCTTCTTCCATCTCCTCGGGCTGAGCTGCAGCCCGCCAGCGAAGACAACACACCCTTGACTGAATCCAGCTGCAGCCTCTCCTTTATTCCATGCACAATGCAACTCCGAGAAGTGAGGGTCCTTCGAAAAGCTATGCAGAAGCGGTTGGGTTGGGTGGGGAGAGGAGGGGAGGGGAGGGGAGGGGAAGAAGCGGGGCTGAGCAGATCTTGCTGCCCACTCTAAGTACTGCAGTTCCAGACAGAGGATCCTCGCCCCCTCCTCCCAACACACGCGCGCACACACATACAAAGCGGGGGGGGGGGGGAGGGAGCGGTTGCATCAGATTTTCCCTTTTTCGGACCTTCTCTGTGTGCCTGGACTATGAAGTCAGCCTCGCTGTTCCACATGATTTTCAGGCTAAGAAGACAATGAGCAGGAGCCCTGCTCGGAAAGGAGGGGAGGCTGTGCCAAGGTTAGGCGGACTGCCTTGGGTTGCGCAGAAGCCGCCTCGCGCCCCAGCAGGCGATGGCGCGAGCAGCGACGACTTTTGTGCAACCTGTAGGTCGCCACCAGCCCCTTCCCTTCTCTTCCCGCAGCCCGCTCGGGAAGAGGGAAGAAGGGGGGGGGGGAATTAACTCTCCTCGGGGATACCGAGAGGGAGAAGTGTGTGCGCCCGGGGCGGGGGGGTGCAGGCGCCGCCTTACCTCGCTCTATGTTGGCGATCGCTCTCCTGAGATGCTCCTCGGTGACCAGCTCGCCGATCACGACCAGGAGATAAAATTTGCTGTCGAGAAAGCGGTGCGACAGGCTAGGCGAGGGGGGCACCGCGTTGGGGAGGCTGCACGACGCCTCCGACTCGGGCTCCAGCACCACCGTCGCCATCCTGGCAAGCCCCTCTCCCTCCTCCTCCTCCTCCCTCCTCGGCGCCTTCCTTGCACTTCTCCCCTCCGGCGGCGGCGCCGATCAAAAAGGCAGGGGACGAAAAGGGTTAGTTCCCAAGGCGCCTCCCTCGGCAGGGGTGGGGGGGAACGAGCCCCTGCGAGCGCAGAGGCACCACCGCGCTCCGGGCTGCTGGGCGAGTGAGGGAGGGTGGGGAGGCGGCGGCGCTTTTATACCGAGACAGCGCGGGGCTGGGACCTGGCGAGGAGGAGGAGGCGGCGGCGGCGGCGGCGGAGGAGGAGGAGGAGGAGGGGACCCGGCACAGCCACGCGCGCTGCCGCGGCTCTGCCAGCATCCACCACAGGCAGCTGATGTCATCTGCAGCAAATCATTCCCATCGCTGCCTCCGGAAGCGAAAAGGACGAGGTGGGCCAACAATAACCAGAAAGGCACACCGAGGGTCAAGGGAAGACCCGTCTGGGACCAGCCTGCAGACTCCGCGGCCAGGCGGGAGCCGCCTCTGTGAAGGAATGAGCAGAAGACCCAACTTGGGGCATGTTTGTCCCGCTACGCCCAACGGGGCTCATTCCCAGGGAAGGAAGAGGGTGGGGGACTGCAGCCTGACTTAGGACAACTCCATACGCAGGAGCGCACAGCCAAGGGAAGGACCAGCCCTTTCTCCTTAGCAGGCTCCGGAGCACGGTTAGAGAAAGGGATTTATCCGCCCCCGCCCCCGCCCAGCTTCATGTGTTCAAGCACATTGCTTTGGAGGTGATGGACTGGATAAATACTAGGGCTCTTTTGACCCCAAGATGTAGAATGGATTTATACAAGTTTGCCTGGAGTGGAGAAAGTGGAAGAGAAGTTATATTGTCACTTTCATACTGCTAGAACTGAGGGGTCAGCCTAGAAAACTGGCAGGAGATGCAAGATAGTCAAAAGCTGAGCACAGGGTGAGGTGTAAAGAAATGTGCACATGATGAAGTGTATAAGGAAACACTTTTGTTAGCCTTTCATACTGGAACTTCAGGTCATCCCATGAAATTGATCGGCGGAAGATTCAGAAAAGGTGAAAGGATGTACAATGCCTAGTTAAGTTACAGAGTTCACTACGACAATTTGTAGTGGTGACCACCAACTTGGATGGCCATCAAACGGTGTTAGACAAACACACGGTGGGAAAATGTATGAATTGCTACTAGTCACAATAGTGATATGTTACTTACAGAATCAGAGGGCCTCTGCATATCACTTGCTGGGGAATATGGGCAGGAGGGTGAGTCCGCACTTGTGGATCCCACAGGTTGTGGTATCCCAACAGGCTAGACTGAACCTTTGGTCTGATCTGGCTATTCTTATTTTATGAAGTAGCTCATCACATAGCATACAGTTAAACCTCAGATGGTTTGCCGGATCATCTGTGATGCAATGGTTCTGTCCTTACCTGCAAGGGTAACTTCCTCTGAACCCCATGCATTTGACTGTGGAGTCCCACAGAGCTCCATCACATTCCCCAAGATGGTTCTTAGGTAGCCACTTGGTGAGGCCTTCCAGGAATCTGGAGTCACTGTATTGAGGATACCCAGCTCTGTTTTCTCCATATCATCAGAATCAGGTGATGCTGTAGAAGTGCTGAACCATTGTCTGGACTTAGTAATGTGATGGATGAGGGCCAATAAACTGAAGCTGAATTTTGACCAAATGGATACATTGTAGGAAGTTGGTGTTCAGTTTATTCTGGATGTACAGCTTTGTTGCAGGTTTGTCGCAGAAACATGTTTGCAGCTTCAGGGGTGCTCTTTTATCTAACACTGTCAATAAAACCATGAGTAACTTCAGTAATTCAAAGCATTGCTTACCAGCTTTGGCTCCTTTGCAAGCTGCAGCATTTCCTAGCTAGGTAGAACCTTCCTGCAGTAACCAATGCTCTGATAGCCTCCAGATTGGATTACTTTAATGCATAATACAAGGGACTGCCCTTGAAAGCTTGAAAGCTTCATCTGGTTCACTATTTAGAAATTGTAATTCTCAGTGGTTTCCTAGATGGATACTCACTGCGCTCTCCTCAAGGAATCGCCTTGGCTCCCTGTTCATTATTAGGTGCACTTCAAGGTGCTGGTTGCCTCATTTAAAGCCTTAAATGGCCTGGGCCCAAATTTCTGAAGGAGTATTTCATCTCATTTCATCCTGCCCAGGCAATAAGGCTTCAGAGGAAGCATTATGAAGTTACAAAGCAGTCTTCTCCTTGGTGGTACCCAAATCTGGAACGCCTTCTTAGGCAGAGTTGTGATTTTGAGCAACTTTGTTTTCTTTTCAGTACCAAATTAAAATGTTCTTGTTTTCTTGGCCCTCTTAAAATGTTACACTTAATGTTACAATTGACTTTAGATTGATTGCTTGTTGCTTGCTTTTTATCCCTCTTATCCTTGCTATTGTTATGGCTCTTATATAGTTTTATTATTACATTACATTTATACCCCAGCTTTCCTTTTGCAAGAATCCTAAGGTTATAAGATTCTCCTCCTCTATATTTTAGTAGTTGTTTTTATAATGTTATATACATTGGCCTGAAATCTTTGCAAATAAAAGGGTGGTTTTGTTTAAAATATAATAAATAATATCATATGAAAATTGCTACCACAAGTTGTGGTTACATTTGGTGCCAATCCCTTCTCTTTGTTATGTGAGATGGAGCAAGAAATGTTCCTCCAGTTGACCTTAGGCAAAAAGGGCGGTACTTGTCTCTTGGCAATAAAAACACAACAATCAGCTGTGTGAGGCAGTTGTTTCACTTTTGCCTGATGGTTAGGCCAGTCCTGAACTGGCCACTGGTTTGGATTAGTTTAGGAAGGATTGGTTACATTAATGGAGCAGAGAAATGTCTGTCCTTTTGTGATGCCTATATGTGACCTCCAGATTTAAAGATTGTATGCCTTGGAAAACAGTTTCCAGGGAACTGCAGAAGCAGAGGGCTATTGTTTTTATGTCCAACCCGTGGGCTGAAACATCTGCTTTGTCACTGTGAGAAAGAGGAAGATGGGACTAGATGGATTGTTCACTCAGTCCTTATGTTCTTAAGCCATTTCGTTTACTAGACCTCATGTAGTTGTTTCAAACAAGGATTAAGCAGGCTGTTTCTGGTAGTGGCATCCCAATCACAGAACAGCCTCCCCATAAAGGAGGCCATCTTGATGGTCTTTTCAACACAGTTTCTATTCAACCTGGGCTTTTAAATAACTTTCTTTCTTTTAGTCTGTGCCTCTCACTTTAATGTGCATGTTAATGGTTTAAATTGTGTTTTCCTTGTTTGAGAATGTATTTTGATTTGCATTTGTTTCTAAGCTGACCCAAGAATTTCTCATATGAGTTAGCTGCATGAATACAGTACTAAATAATAAATTGGTAAAATAAAATTTGAAGATGTTTTCAAGACACACAATAGCCTTAAGGCTATTTCCATGCTGCCCTTATCAGTCCCACTTCAGCATAAGTGTTGTTCCTTATTGGGGCTGGCCCAAGATAACTTAGTGACAAAGCTGTGACATCGCTAATCTGAAAAATACATACCAGTATCTTTTGTTGTGAAAGTACCAGAGATGCAGCTCTTAGGTATCATGGGACTGTGCGTGATCTGTCAGTTGCTCTCCAGCATCCTCTGAGACATTCCAAGGGCATCCTTTGACTGCTACAAGGTACCAAAGGGACTTCAGTGTGGATTGCATGGTTCTCAGTGGACCATCCCTATCAGAAAGGGGATGATGCATGACAACAAGTGGCAGCTCTCTGTAGTCTAGGTTGGATGCCATACAATATGGTAGGAGGAAGCCCACTTGTGCCCAGCCTGACATACTTTTTTGTGGCTGTTTAATTTGTTAAATTCAGATTGCATGGTGCACATTGTTTGAACTGCCTCTGTTTCAGAATTTAATGCTCAATTTTGTGCCTCATAATTTTGTTGATTCTATTTTACTGTTTTATTGATTTGAGCATCCTGAATGCTGATAATTGGCTGGAAGTAGATAATGTAGTTAGGACTTTACTTCCCCTTGCACCTGAATTAGGATGAGAGAGACAGCCTCAGAAGAATTTGTGCTCACCTGGGCAACAGCCATAGGAGGAACTTCAGCTCTGTGCTAAAGAGCATGTGCTTGGCATGCAGAACGTTTGGGGAGAGATCTCCAAGTAAGGGCTGGAAAAATTCCCACATGAAACCATGTTATAAATAAACAGTAATGGCCTAGCTCTGACTAGTATATGGCAGCTTTGTATGTTCCTGCTAGTGGATGCTTACACAGACAAGCTGCACATATCTGAAAACTTTAGTCAAGGTGTTTGTTTGTCCTAAGCTATCTCGCGATTTCCTTCAAAACATGGATGGAATTAAAAACAAGGTCCTAACGTGCTGCACAAAAGATAGCAGGAAAGAAGCCATGCGGATCTTTTGAGGGAAATGCTTCTAAATGACAATGTGCCACAACCAAAAGGTCCCTGCTTCTAAGGATCACCAATCTGAGATGCTACAGAAGAGACTTGAATTATTGCCAGTGGAAGATCTTAACATGCAGGAAGCTCATATTGGAGGAGACACTTTGTTTTGTACTGTTTATTTGTGTAATGCATTTATGAATCACTCCTTTGCTCAATAGGTACTCCAGGTGATATACGAGTCAAATTGAAGAGCCATAAAATTCAAAAGTATCCAGGCCCATGGTGTTCAGGGCTTTAAAGGTCAGCATCACCATCTTGAATCTAGTTTGGAAGATAACCAGGCCAATGAAATCCCACCAGCACTGGCGTTAGAGGTTAGGAGTAGCATACGCTGCACAACAATCATGCTCTGCATTTTGAAGCCAGTTGCTATTTCTAAATAATCTTCAAGGTTACACCCCAGTTAGATTAGATTATATTACAATAATCTAATTTAAATCATCAAGGTACTGCCTTATACAAAAATTGCATATGTGTACTCAGCTTCCAGGGAAGTACAGAGCTGATTGGACCTGACATAATTTTATTATTTTATAATTCAAACAGTTGTACTTTGAATTGTGAATATGAATTTTTTCTGTGAAGCCAGAAGGGCATGTGAAAAAACACAGGATTTGCATAACTGAAGGAAATGAGTTGTCAGTATCTCTCAACAAACAACTTCTTGTTGGGATGGTACTCAGGGGCTTCAAATAGGGCTATTAACAGCACCATA